GTTAAAAGAGCTCTCTCTCTCTCTTTCATTTTTATTTCTAGTTCAACAAGATTTATCTCCTACATTGTACAAATATTTATTTTTCATATAAAACAGCCTTCAATTTAATTTCCGTTTCATGTTTTTTGAAAAAAAATATAAAGCAAAATTACAAATTTACATTGAAAAAAAATAGTAATTTTCCATATTTTTTTGATTTGGAATTTGTTATATATTTTTTTTCTAGAAAAAAAGAGAATTGAAATATACTTTATATACTTTTGATACAACTTTAATTATATATAGTTGTAATTAAGAACGGGATATACAGTTGTGCTTTCGCGTATCGTAATTTTCTATATACACACTGGGTTACTGGTTCTTTTACGCTTGACTAACTGGCAGCAGGTTGACCGTATAGAAATTCCAGAATGTAATCTTGAGAAACGGGATTAGAAGCTCTAATAATGTATATCTCACACAACCTATATTACTTCTTTTCCTTTTTGCGAATATCGAGCTTAACTTCCTTTTTACCTTATCTACTGTGCAATCAGTGCGCGAGCCTTTTCAATGAGATTATCCTCTTTTTTTTTCCTCATCTTATTTTCATCCTATTCATATATTCTTAAACCGGTTTTTATCAATGTTATATACTCTTTAAAAGTTCATATACCTATAATAAGCGATTCTTCAAAATTCTAAACGATGCAAAAATTTTTTAATACACTTCGATTTTACAATGGCATTTTAATTTTTGCCAAAAAAAAAAAAACAGTAAAAAAATTAAATAAATTTTTTACGTAAAAATAAGAATTTAAAAACAGGAAAAGAAAAGTTAAATAAAACACTAATGTGATTAAAAATAAATTAAATCATTTTTACATTAATTGAATTTACTTATTCTTTTTGTAAAATTTTTTATTACTTTTTATATATACACGAAAAACTCCTGTTTTATTTGAAAAAAAATCACATAAAATATTTATATTACACTAGGTATAGTAGTTTAATCAATCAAAAACAGTTGATTGAATCCGTCATTCTTCAAACTGTGATATATATATATGTATATAATAGATAGAATTTTACTAATTGACAATCAAAATTTCCCTAACGGAATAACAAAAATTATTTATATCTAAAATAATCAAATTTCATTGATTTGTATAATCCGAATGTCCATTGGTGATAAATTTCTCTTTCAAGCCTTCAGTTTTAGTTAATTTTAATTATATATCAATTTTTTTTTCAACTCTGTTATTACACTCTCAAGTTTTATTTAAAGTTTATTTTTTCATTACAATTAAAATAAAATTTGATTACCTATTTATTTTACATAATTAAAAAGGAATGTTTTACAAAGTGACAATTTTTCTTTTTGAGGCGTTTTTAATTAGCGGCACTAGCGCTCCTGCGGGGAAACTGTTACAACTCAGTTGAGAGATTAATTATTACAAATGGCGGCCTTGCGCATGCGTTTTCTGCTTAGCAGACGAAAAATAGTGAAAATTAGAGTGCGTCAGATATATTAATTTTATTTTAATGCGATTGTCATTTCAAAAATTAGAAAACATTTTTTATATCCCAAAGTGAAAAACAATTTTTTCTTTCACTAAAAAACAACCATTTATATTTTTTGTTTCATTTTCTTCTTTCTTTGACAGTTTATTTTTTTGTGGTGAATTTTTTTTTACCGTGGTTTTTATATTTGTAGCACAAAAGGATGTACTTTTTTTTTTAATTAAAACGTTGGATATAAAAATAATCGATTGTATAAATAGAAGTTTCCAATTTCTGGTTCTCTGGTATTTGAAGCGTCATGCACGGTTAACCATACTACGACACAGTTATCTTTAGAGCAATGAGGTTATTCATGATGTGGTTCAGGTACTATGTGTGTATATATATATACATCTGTGTATAAATATCGTGTGGATGATGCATTTGCATCCAAAGTAAGAGATCTCTCTCACACATACACAAACAACTGGATAAGGGTCCCTCAGATGTTGTTTACTTCTGGCAACCAAATGCCTCAGGACATCATCTGAAAATATTTCGACCTCGTTCAAGGTCATTTACAATAATCCCTTCCGCTTTTATTTAAAAATTCAAAATGGCAGATCCAATATGGCGTCCAATATAGCCTACATTTCAATCCCCCACAAAAATGTAATTACAATAGTAACTTAATTATGACATAAAATCCGCGCCCTTTTATTCGTTCGACAGTAGAGATAATCGATAAAAATATATAATTTAAAAGAAACGAATTACTAAGTCCATCAAACTTATTTCTGTATATAATTTTATATATAGCAATAAAGTATTCCTTCATTTTATATATACATGTAGGTACATTGAGCAATAGAAAATTAGAAAGGTTTCTTAACAAGAAATTCTAGACGTATACGCCTGCAGGGAAAAAGGGAACTGGAAATTAACAAACTTCTCACTCTCCCAAATCGATTTATATTATATATTAAACGGAACAAGTTTTGAATAATAATTTTTCGTGATAATAATAAAGCCAATTTAATGTGCGCAATGATATTTGGTGTTATATTTACAAATAATAACCTAAGTTAACCTAAACTTAATCTAACTTAACCTAAAATTTACCTAATCATAGTCTAACCTAACCTAATACAATCTCACCTAATCTAACTTAAATGAACCGAAAATTAACCTAATCTAATACAATCTAATCTCACCTGACTTAACCTAGTCGAAACGTAACCTAACTGTAATCTAACCTAACTTAACCTAACTGTAATTAAACGAACCGTAATTAAACCTAACCTAATAGAGTAAATCTAAATTAACATAGTCGAAAATTAACCTAATTTAACCTAACCTAATACAATTGAATCTAACTTAACGTAACCGAAAATTAACCTAACCTTAACTTAACCTTACCTTAACTTTAACTTAACCTAACCTTAACTTAACCTAACCTTAACTTCACCTATCATAATCTATGAGGAAAGAGTGTTCTGACATCTTTGATTTTGTAAAATACTTGTAGATACGATATTTTTATCAAATACAAAAAAATAATATCTGCATTAAAAAAAATAATTCAGATTTATTCCCTATAAATGAAAATCGAAAACTATAAAAAAAAATTTTATAAATTATAAAGGAAATAGGAATGCATCGTCCTTTGAGGATTTTTTTTTATTATTATTATCATTTCCGTTCGTTGGAGAAACTTACGTTTAGATATATACGATTGCCAAGTGGAACGACTATATTTACTAAGGTATACGGCATGTAAACCGACAAGCGTGGATTAAATAAGCGCGCGAGATTAAATTACATTCGAAATATAGTGTATCCTCTTCGAGTTCTAAAGTACAAATTCGCTGACACGATCGCGTATCTTTCTATTCATCAGTAAATAATCCCATTGCTGTCCAGTTCAACCGAAAGAAAAAGGAAGAAAAAAAAGAGAAAAAGAGGAAAAAAAGAAAAACCCGTGTGGTCTTGTAGAAAATGTTAAGAATTCAAGATTACTATTTATTTCTTCTCTTAAATTTTTACTGTTAGCTGCAACAATTACAAGAAAGAATAAGAGAAATTTTTTTACTGGCTTAGATCCAATTAAAAAAAAATGAGCTATATATTTTAAAATAAGAATGAGAATCCTCTAAAACGAAGATTATTTATTATTATTTATTTTTATATCTATAAAATATTTCATTTTTTTACTTTTATTTTATAAATATAGAATTTTTAATAAAAAAAATATATTTTCAAATCTGTGTAAAACTAAAATTGTAATCTCTCTCGATGAATGTTATTGTTTTCCAATTATTACAAATGCAATAAATTTTTAATTTTTGAAATTAAAAATATATTGAACTGCTAGGTGTTAAAAAATGACGCTTAGTACTTTTCACGGTCTGTCAGACCGCGATTCTTTTTTTATGCAACGAAAAAATTATTTAACTGCAACAGCGAAAGGTTTTACTAGAATAACAAAAGTTTTAATTGTTTCAGTTAAATGTTATAATAATTATATTATTATTATAATTAATATTATAAAATTTACCCAATTTAAAATTTTCAAAAAATTGTCACAACTATTTTTTTGTAAAATACAAAACTAATAAAAAGCTAAAAGTTTCTACTGTACTTTAAAGAAAATTAGTAAATAAACAAAAATCAAAAATGCAAAATGTTTGACAGCGGTCTGAAAGACCGCAACAGTAGTTTGAAGGTTAAAAAAATATAATTAAAAATTTTTTATTATAAACTCAATTAAAATGTTAATATATATATAAAAAAAGTTTGAAAGTGAGAAACTTTACAAATTAACTTGTTTTGAACTGGAGAATAAAAGTATAATGAAACTTTTGGTGTTGCATTACTAATTGCCCCGAAACAATAATAAACAGTGACTAACTAATTTGTGACCACAGACGAGCGACGACTTGCGCAATGGTGACCTCATTTTACCCGCTAATTCCACGCAATAAATTGTCCTTTCCGGTCCACCGTGTCCTGTCTCCGTTTTGTGCGTTCTCAAACGAGAACGAGAACGACCTCTCCCTACATTATATGTATATATACATTTCGCTCTCATTCTCTCGTGTATGTCGCGCTCTGCTACGCTCTCATTATATCCCAACCCTCCATCATTAAGTGTCTCCTGATTTAATTGCAATTCTACGTACACGTGCCCTCGAGTTGCAAAAAAAAAATTCTGATTACATCCGCAAGGATCTTTATCATAAATGTGACACAATTAACTAATATTTTAGAGCAGAAAAAAAATTACATATGATTTTGTCTCTTTCTCTCCAGACCGCATTACATGACTTTTTATTTAAAAGAATTTTAAATTTAATTGCATTTTAATTTAACAGAATTCCCATTCAATCGAATTTTATGTGATTCAAATTTTTAAATAATCGAAATTCCAATTCACCAAATTTTTTATTGATAGAATTTTTAAGACGCCGAATTTAAAAAAAAAAATAAATTAGCAACATTATAAAATAATTAAATAATTATGTAACGTCCCGTGTATAATTTGAGCATATAAATGTTCAAATAAGATTAGTTTAGGTAAAATTAGAATTTTAAGTGTTTCTCACACTTCGTCGCTGTTTTGAACGTTTATTTCTAAACAAACTACAAGTGTAAATAATCTTAAATTAAATAAAAGATATCAGAACGTTCTCTTCAAGAAAACAATTATTTCTAAAACGTCTAAAATTCTCAAAACCTTAAGCTCAAAATCAACAGTTCCGAAAATTAAAATAGAGAAGAATTGTATTTTGAAGATATCATTCTGATATCTCCTGTAAATAAAGTCAGCATAGTTGAATAATCTAGCGTAACTATCTAAATATCCCGAGCACCGATGCACTCTTGCAAACAACAAGACCTAACTATTTTTTATGTAAAGTATGAGAATGAGTGATTTAATTATAAATAATGAATAATAATTGTTTAAATGTTTAAATTTTATTGTTAATTAACTTTAATTAATTTTGATTTCTTTAATTGGATTTAATTATTTAAAATATTTCAAGTTTTTATTATAAATTAATTATTTCACAGACAAATCATTGTGTATAATTGTTTATAAATATTATTTGAACATTTGAATTATTATTACTCATTTTTGATTATTATTAATTTTTAATTCAATTATTTTAAATTACTTTTCAAACGTTTTAGAATAATTTTGTTAAATATAAAGAATATTCTATACTTTTATAATAAAAATTAAATTAACAAACAAATTAAACAATTTTAAATAAATTTTAATTATTTTTAATTATTCAAATTAATTTTTAATCATTAATTAACAATTTAAGTATACAAAATTCTTTATATTTTAAAACTTTAATAATTAATTATATTTTATTGTTAAAAATTATTGTTAATAACTTTTTAACTAATAATATTAATATTCATAATGTTTAAATTAATTTTTAATATTAATAATGTGAAAATTATGAAAAACTCAGAAATTGGTTGGAAAACTGAATTTTGGCTCCATCTCTTGAAAACGGTCAAAACTTTAAGCCCCTTCCACTTGAAAACTCCCCTAATTCAAGTACGCCCACGCAACTTCTTATCTCTCAAGGCTGGGCCTGAAGGGCCCAATACCGTCACTGACCTAACCAGTTTTTTCCCATTTTCTTTCCTTGGATCCAATCCTTGTAATTTCCCAACCTCTTTTTCCTCCACTTTGAGACCCATTATTTTAAAACATAGTTCCATCCCTAAAAATAGGTAGGGACAATGATATAAAAATACGAACCCCGTTGAGAAGTCAGTCAAAAAAAAACAGTCACAAAAACAGTCACAAGAATTCTAAAAAAACTACTTCTTCCTCAAATTCTTCTTCAAGTTCAAGTTCAAGTTCAAGTTCAAGTTCAATTAAATTTCATTTTTTCTAACAATTTTCCAAGTGTTAAATTTAAATTGTATTAAAAATTTCCACGATTCAAGCCAAAAATTCAACGCTTTTTCAACCAATTTCCGAGTCTACAAGTGCCAATTTGTTTAAATAAAAGTAAGTCTTATATTAAATTGCTGTCTAACTTTCATCTAAATCTTTTTCTTGTCATCTCTAAATAATTCCGAAGAATATTAATGCGTTAATCGTGTTCTTATTTCTTCAATTTCCTTGTCGTATTTTTGTATTTACCATAATTTTCATTACCTTACCTAAGGATTTTAATGCGTTTATCGCGTAATTATTCCTTTAATTTCCCCGCGAAAATCCCTATTTACATATATTGATCAATTTGAATCGTTCCCGAGTTAGTGGACGCAAGTCTAGACTCGAAACATAAAATAAGAGAATATTTCCGAATATTCTCTGAAATTTATACTTGCGTTATGCATCCGACGTAACATAGGGTAAATTTTTGGAGGCCCCGGAGGGATAGTTCAAATTGATCTTTATAAAAAAAAATCTTCTTCTTTCATCTATTTTCTCTCTAATTATCTCAATTTTTTTTATAAAAAGTATCATTTTATTTATTAAAAATTCAGTACAAATGAACGTTACGTTAATAAATATGTTAATTGTGAAATATTCGTATATTCGTATAAAAATTACCGAAATTTAATAAAATTGAAAATTCCCTATAAATTGCTAGAATGTTAAAATGAGAATTTGTCATTATAAATTGAAAAATTAACACTATTTCAAAAATTTCATGTACATTGGTTAATTTGGAAAGTTTCCGTAAATTACTAAAATGCTCAAAATCTAGAATTTACCATTACAAGAATGAAAAATCAACAAAATTTAAAAGAATTTGTGTAAAATTGTCAAACAAATTGTTATTTAAAAAAAAAAGGAAATTTCATTTTCTAAAAATTAAGAATTAAATTTTTTAAAAAAAAACTTTGTTTTAAAATAAAACTTAAATAAATTTTCATTTTCAATAAAAACTGAAATTTATAAATAAATTAATAAAATGTCACATTTATTAATTAAAACTTGTGTTAAAATGTGCGTATGCAACATATTAAACTGTTAACATACATAAAAATCCAGTTGCGATTTCGATTTAAAGCACCCCATTGACAGGCGGACGAATCGATAGGCGCAATCGATATATATATATATCGATTGTCAGAATCGATCCCTTACTCTCGAGAGCATGCCTCTCGCTGTACGTGCCTTTACAGTAGTACCGCACTACGGCTGACTACGCAAGTCGGTCATCGGCCATTACTACTGCGCGCGACGACAGCGGGCCCCGCCAAGCTGCATCGCGCCTCTCGCGGTCTCCCCCCGCGAATTCCCCCTCCACCTCGCGCTTCATCTCGCGATCGCGAAGTTTTTCGCGGTTTTTAATAGAAAATTTGAATTTTAACTTATATATTGTAACTTCTCTTCTATTATCGCGATTTTGAAAATTCTTTTTTTACCCTTATTCTATTTTTAATTATAAAATGATTATCCCTAATAATAACCTTGTTAATGAATTAAAAAAAAAGATATTACTAAATCAAAAATTCTAAATCCAAATGTTATAAATTAAAAATTCTAAATCCAATTATTCTAAATCCAAAAATTCTAAATCCAAATGTTATAAATTAAAAATTCTAAATCCAATTATTCTAAATCCAAAAATTCTAAATCCAATTATTCTAAATCCAAAAATTCTAAATCCAAAAATTCTAAATCCAAATGTTATAAATTAAAAATTCTAAATCCAATTATTCTAAATCCAAATGTTCTAAATCAAAAATTCTAAATCCAAATGTTATAAATTAAAAATTCTAAATCCAATTATTCTAAATCCAAATGTTCTAAATCAAAAATTCTAAATCCAAATGTTATAAATTAAAAATTCTAAATCCAATTATTCTAAATCTAAAAAAATTCTAAATCTAAAAACTCCGAAAAGAGAGTGAAAATAAAAAAAAATTTTCTAAATACTATAAAAAGAGAGTAAAAATTATTTCTAAACAATCACCAAAAAAAAGGGGTTGTCGTCGTAGCACTTTATTAAAGTGTGATTCAAATTTTTTTTTTTAAGAAAATGAAAATAATAAATTCCCTATCTTAAATAAATTTTTCTAAAATAAAATAAAAAAAAAATATAAAATAAAATTGAATAAATAAACTCTAATTAAGAGAGTAAAATTAAAGAAAATCCTAAAATGAAACTTTAAAAAAAAAGAGAACGCAATTTCCAAAATTAAATTGTTGATTTTTCATTTATATTATTGGCCAATTTTCTTTTTATTTGAAAATATCGATTTTGTCATATCATAGTATTCCTTGTTTTCTTTAAAATGCCTTTTGTTAGAGCTGACTTAGAAACGTGTCCGTATGACCAGTCTCATAGAATAAGTCACGCGAAAATAACTAATCACCTAATTAAATGCAGAAGAAATAATGAGCCACAATCTCGAGAATTAGTCTTATGCCCCCATAACGGTGGTCATTTTGTCCCAAAACCCGAATTCGAATTTCATGTAGCGAAATGCGTTAAACGTGTCAGTTGGGTTACTCTTAATTAGAATCTAAGAAACTCATTTTGAATAAAAAAAAAAGGGAGAATTATTTATTTTTATTTTATGTATTTTTCTTTGTCTTTCTAGTGTCAGGATATACTAGTACAAAGAAAAAATTAACGAAAACCCAGCGGAAGGTTATCAATAGGAATTTAAAACAGTCTCTGGGAGACAAGTGGCTTCCAGTAGCTGAATTTAGGAAGGCAAAAGCGGAAAAATTAAAAAGGATAGAAGAAGAAAAATCGAGACTGCCCGAATCCGTAGAGCAGAACGAGCCATTAGTTAAGAAGTGTGATTTTAAATTAGTAAAAGGGCAAATTCACCCTGAAGTATTCAGACAATTAAATCTTGATGCTAAAATAATTTTATTTCGACGAAGCCTTTGTAATCATAATAACAATCCTAAAACCTGTCTCACTTGCAAAGATCTATGGAAAACTAATTACAAAATACCGAGAACTAATGTACAACGGGATATAGATTATAGAAAAGTCTTATAATACAGTCAATTTTGTTTCATAAAATTTCTTTTGCTATTCATTTCCTTTTTTTTTTCCTCTCTCTCCTCTCCCCTAATCTTTACAATTTAAACTCTATGAATGAGGGAAGAATTACAAGAAGTCAGGCTAAGGCTGATCCTATTTTAGCAACAGAAATCGAAGCTTTTAATCCTTTTATTACAGGAAAACAATTAGATCGATCTCCCTGTAAAAGTGAAAATAATTTAGAAAATTTAACAACCTCAACACCAATAGTGGAATCTCAATTTGAATCAAATTTTCCTAATATTTCATTATCAGAAAGTTCATTTACTTCAGGTGAAACTGTTAGAAGACAATTAGATTTCAATTCGAGTTTTAATGATATTACAACTATTCCTTTTGGAAATACGAACGAAACATTAATTGAAAAAAATACTATTGACAATACTTTAATTGATAATAATCTAACGTTACAAGAAAATTTAAATTTTACCAACATGGCTTTAAATGCAAATCAAACGGTCAGTTTAACTGATGCCTTAAAAGCAGTTCCAGAGTTTAATGGAACTAATATCCCTATTAATATCTTTTTAAGAGGATGTTCAGAAGCTAAAAGTATGGTAGCAGCAGCGGCTGAAGGTAATCTTGTGAAATTAATTAGAACCAAAATTTATGGTGAGGCCCAAGAGACAATTATTGGACAAAATTTTGAAACAATTGAAGCTTTAGGAAATTTCCTTAAAGATATTTATATAGTTAGCCGAACGGTTAAACAATTGTTAGGAGACTTAGGCAATGAATATCAAAGGGAAGATGAAAATGTCATAACATTCGCAAATAGAATTCGAGATATAGGGACGCGAATTATTGAAGCTCAACGCACTTTCACCGGTACTGTAACCGAAGATTTTATAACTGAAACCCAAGCTGATATCGTGGACAGTTTTAAAGAAGGACTCCTTCCAGAAATCGAAAACAAAATGCCAGTGAATGCTAACATTACTGAATTAATAAAAAGCGCAATTAAAATCGAAAAAAGATTAGTCACACAAAAAGGTAGGCGAAATAATTTAATTTCAGATTCAAAACCTGTAAGAAGGAAAGAGATTTTTACATGTCAATTATGTAAAGAAGAAGGACATGAAGCAACCGATTGCAGTCTGCGTAATGATAAATTTTGTAATAACTGTAAAAATAATGATCATAATACTCAAGATTGTCAGAAAAAAAATAATAATACTAATATTATCTGTCAAATTTGTAATAAACCGGGTCATAAAGCATCTGATTGTTTTAAAATCAAACCTTGTATAAATTGTGGAAAAACGGGACATGATTCTAAATTTTGTAGACAAATGACTAATTCTAATTCCTTAGTTTGTCAAATTTGTGGTAAACCGGGACATGAAGCTAAAACATGTAGATCTCTTTCTAATTCTAATTCTGTAGTTTGTCAAATTTGTGGTAAACCGGGACATGAGGCTAAAATATGTAGATCCCTTTCTAATTCTTTAGTTTGTCAAATTTGTAGCAAACCAGGACATAATGCTAAAACATGCTTTAAAAATCCATTTTATAAACCCGACAATATGCAACAAAAGTTTCAAAATCCGTTAGAATCGCGATCTCAACTACAATGTCAAAATTGTAATGGTATAGGTCATACAGCGGCAACATGTCGACGTCTTGTTAATCAATTATCGATGAACCCAACTCAAATAGTGACTTGTAGATATTGCAAAGGTATAGGTCACACATTAGAAGAATGTAGGAAAAGATTATTTAACAATCAAAGATTTCAGGGAAACGGCCAGAGTCTCCCCCTTCCGAGCGCAAACATGGAGACTCAAATAACACCAATGCGCTCAGTGAATGTGACCGAAACAGTAGACCTACCGTGCGAATTAACGTTGTAAACGAAACACAAAGAAAATTTTGCCCGTACATTGATATCAAAATTAATTCAGAAAAAGGTATTAGTTTACTCTTAGACACAGGAGCAGAAGCTAATCTATTAAAACAAAAATGTATTCCAGAATCTCAGTCAATAAATAAAAATAATATCTATAAAATCTTTGGTATAGGTGGAGAATCTTCTGAAACTTTAGGATCAGTTAATTTAAAAATAGGAGGATACATTACTGAATTTTTAATTGTTCCAAATAATACACCAATTCCATATGATGGAATTTTAGGCACTCAGTTTTTCTTAACATCCAAATGTAAAATCAATTTCTTAACACAAAAATTAGAAATAGATAATTTACGTGTAACGTTAAAAAGAAGAGAAAGTATCATTAATGAAACAAGGGATATTTGCAGTGTTGAAGATATTAATGTCTTAGGTAGACTGCCTTTTATGACAATTAATCATGCTCTAACTCAAAAAAGGAGTGACTTTTTAATTGACACGGGTTCAGAACCAAATGTAATCAAAGAACGTATGATGATTCCAGGAGATCCTTTAATAACAAATCAAAAACAATTACTCAAAGGAGTCGGTAATAATCTTATAGCAACTTTAGGATGTACTGATATATATGTTTATGGAGTAAAATCTACTTTTCAAGTCGTTTCAAATGACGTAATTATGCCTACTTCTGCCATTCTTGGTGCACAATTCTGTCAGGATGCTAAAGCAATAATCGATTTTAAAAATGCAATAATTACTATAGATCATCGAGAATTTCCTTTCCAATATAAAACCCGCCAAATTGATGAAAAACAAAATAATGATAATTTATATCACAATCTACAACCATTATCTGAAGCCAATGATGTTAAAATCTTTGCTATAGACGTTGTTCAACCAACAGATATTGAATTTGAATTTAATTCCTTTCAATCTTTAAATAATATTGAAGAGAAATACATTTTTCACGTTAATGCTCATGATTTAACTAAAGGATTAGATCCAGAGGTAGAAAACAATGAATTTTATTTAGATCCTTCAAACCCTTATTATCAAGAAGACCAAGAAGAATTAGAACAGTTAAAGAAATGTAATATTGCGGAATTTTTACGTCTCGACCATTTAAAACAAACAGAACGGCAACATATTCTGGATTTAGTGGAAAAATATAAACATATGTTTTATTTGCCGGGAGATGATTTACCGGGTACCAATGCCATTATGCATCGAATTCCAACTATAGATGATATTCCTGTCAATACAAAACAATATAAATTTCCTCATGCTTTAAAAGAAGAAATAATAAAACAAATGAAAGAATTGTTAAAATTAAAGATTATTAAACCTTCCAATTCTTCATATAATATTCCATTATGGATAGTACCAAAAAAACCGGATTCTCAAGGTGTAATAAAATGGAGAGTCGTTCTAGATTTCAGATGGCTCAATGAAAAAACCATTAGTGATAGCTATCCCCTCCCCAATATTACTGAGATTTTTGACCAAGTAGGGGGCGCTAAATACTATACAATAATTGATTTAGCCAAAGGATTTCTTCAAATCAAGTTAGATCCACGGGATTCTCATAAAACCGCTTTCAGCACACCATTTGGACACTATGAATTTACAAGGATGCCTTTTGGACTGAAAACAGCGCCAGCAACTTTTCAACGACTTATGGATACCATACTTGATGGACTTCAAGGAGTAAAATTATTTGTATATTTAGATGACATTGTAATTTATGCAAATAGTTTAGAAGAACACGATCAGAAATTTCACGAGTTAATGGAAAGACTTGTGACAGCCGGATTGAAAATACAAACAGATAAGTGCGAATTTTTAAGAACAGAAGTTAATTATCTAGGACATAAGTTAAGCAAGGATGGTCTTAGTCCTGATTCAAAGAAAATTGAAGCTGTTAAACAATTTCCAATCCCTAAAAATATTAAAAAAATTCGAGAATTCTTAGGCCTTGCGGGATATTATAGACGGTTTATTAAAAATTTTGCACAAATCGCGAAACCTTTAACAAAATTACTACAAAAAGATGCAGAATTTGTTTGGGATGAAAAAACTAATCTTTCATTTGAAACTTTAAAAGATCTTTTGTGTAATGCTCCTTTACTTCAATTTCCGGAATTAAATAAATCTTATAATATCACAACAGATGCATCAGGTTACGCAATCGGAGGTATTCTATCTCAAGGAGAAATCGGCAAAGACAAGCCTATTGCTTATTTTTCTCGCGTATTACGAGGACCCGAATTGAACTATGAAGTTTATGAAAAAGAAGCATTAGCCATTGTAGATAGTACAGAAGCTTTCCGATCGTATGTATATGGCCGACAAATTAACATATACACTGATCACCAACCTTTAATTTGGTTCAAATCAGCAGATTTAAATACTCGTGTTCAAAAATGGCGTTTTAAATTATCAGAGTATAATTACACTGTCTTTTACAGACCTGGAAAAATAAATACGAATGCAGATGCTTTATCAAGAAATCCCTTAGAACCTACAAATATAAATATTGTAACTAGAGCACAACAAAAGCTATTGGAAAATTCTACCCCAAAAAACGATAATGATATTTCAAACCAAAAAGATGTACCTCAAAAACAAATACCTAATAATAACAAGATTAAATCAAAAACACCATGTGAAGAAAAAGAAAAAGCGCAAGAAATAAATGACTCATTAATAAATAATCCTTCTGTAAAACGTTATCCTAAGCGAAATTTAAATAAACAAAAACCTGCTTACGAAGAAAGCGAATCCGAATCGGAAAAAGAAGAAGTAGCTGGAACAAACCCTTTAAGACCTCTCCCAATCAAAGCTAGGAAAAGAAGATGGTTAAGGCATGAGAGTGATAGTGAATCTACAGATTCATCAAGTAATGAGGAGTTGCTAACAAATGGAAAATTCCCAAACCGTTTAATAACTAATATTACAGAAATTCATGAAACTATTCAACATCGATTAGGTAATATTATGTATTTTGTAAATAATGAGGGTACACCATGTGATGAAGGTGCCTTAAAATTAAGTGAAAATAATAAAATTTCTGCACGTCAAACATTAGTTGTAGGTCGTGTAAATGAGATTAAACGAAAAAATAATCGATTTCTATTTTCCTTATGTTTAAAAGAAAAAGACCCCATTTCAATTAGCGAAACTCAGAAAAGAATTCATGAATTATTTAAAAATTTGAAAAATCGACTTATTGCATTAAACCAATCGGAAATTTCAATTGCTAAAAGTAGAAATATTGAAAATTTAGAATGGAGAGAAATTTTAAAATTAATAAATTTAGTATTTAAAAATTCTAAAATCTCAGTTTTAATCTGTACGGGAAAATTAAAATACGTACCTATTCCAAAAAGAGACGAAATTTTTTATGAACATCATAATTGTCCTATCGGAGGACATAAGGGAGTATCGAAAACTTATAATCGTATTAAACAAAATTATTATTGGGAAAAATTAAAAGATGATGTTACTAGAAGAATCCAACAGTGTTTAGATTGCCAATTAAAAAAATTGGTCCGATTAAAAACTAAGCAACCTATGGTGATAACGGACACACCAGGCATCGCTTTGGATAAAATCGCTATGGATATTGTAGGTCCTCTTAAAATCACTTCTAAAGGTAACGAATACATCCTTACAATTCAAGATTTGTTTTCCAAATTTTGTTTAGCTGTACCACTCTCTAATACATTATCCAGCACTATTGCTGATGCTTTCATTAAGAAATTTATCTGTGTCTTTGGTGCACCAAAAACTGTTTTAACAGACCAAGGCAGAAACTTCTTAAGTGAATTAATGACTAGAGTAGCGAAAAGATTTAGAATAAAAAAATTAAGAACAACAGCATTTCATCCCCAATCTAACGGTTCTTTAGAACGATCCCATCATTCCTTAGGTGAATTTCTTAAACAGTATACAGATGCTGATAATGAATGGGACCAATGGCTCGATATAGCCATGCTTAGTTACAACACAAGTGTGCACGAAAGCACAAAACATACCCCATATGAAATCGTTTTTGGTCGATTAGCTAGACTTCCCTCGTCCGATCCTTTACAAGAAGGTGATTTAGTCCCAACATTTAAAGGGTACATAACAGAGTTAGTAGCGCGACTAAACGGTATTCAAAAACTTGTTTATGACAACCAAGTTCAGTCCAAAGAAAAGTCCAAGGAATACTATGACAGAAACATTAATCCTGTTAATTTCAAATTAGGAGATTACGTTTTTCTCTTGAGTGGTCCCAAACCCGGTAAATTTGGTAACCATTATGCGGGACCTTATAAAATAATCGAAATTTTGAGCAAAACAAATGTAAAAATTCAGATCGAAAAGAACCACAAAGTGGTACACACGAATCGATTACGAATATCTCACATTAACAAAGAAGCTAAAACCCCATTAAATAAAAGACACAATCATGTTGATAGTGATTAAATAAACTTATTATTAATAAGAAAACAAAAGGTTTTGTTACAGAATGATTGTTCTACTTTTGAGTTTTCTTTTCCTCATTCCTTCCTTCTCAGTGGGAATGATTGGATACAATTGTGGATCAGGAGAACTTAATGTAACGACAATTTCGTTACTTGAAGTAGGTCAATGTGATGTCCCCAACATCAACTTAAACATAACGTATCCATACATACAACTACTTCAGATTAGTGAGTATTCTGAAGTAATGGTAAGGCAGTGTAAAGTTGAAGTACGACGAACGATATATCGTTGTGGAATGTTTTCCCACATATCTGTAGTGCATAACGGTGTGAATGAATACATAATGGAAACAAATAAGGTTGATTGCGAGAGTGCACACATAACCGGGATTTTAAAATTACCAAATAGCCATGTAATCAGCGGACTTCGAATTAACGAAACTATTACTCATCCAATAACAATAGCTGGAAGTCTTGAAAATGATGGTTCATGTCAGGGAACAGGTTATTCGGATCCCTATGGATCATGGAAAAAGGTAGTTGTGCAAGCAACAGTCAAAATAACTTTATTAGAACACTTAGCTCGCGTGAAACTAGAGTCGAATACAATTGTCCTAAAATCCGGAACTAATTGTCGTTTAGCAGAAGAAAAATGTGTAGATCAGGAAGGAGGATATACATATTGGAATACTGTACAACCGCATTCTTGTAAATTCGACCAATATAGTATTTTGTATGAAGGTAGAGCCAACAAAATGGTAGATCACGATATATATAATCCTCAAACCATTTATACTGTTAATAAAGGCGAAGTTACATTTGCTTTAAATACAAAATCAAGCGAATATATATGTGGATATTTAATCTTAAAGACGGAACACCCCAAATTATTCATTTTTGAAACACAACTAGGTACTAGCTTTGTTAAAAACACAAAAATCGCGATCTCAAATTTAGACTTATTTGCATATGTAAATTCCAAGTTTATTTATGTCGAAAAACACATCAGGAAACAAATGAAACAATTGTACGTCGATATTGTAAGCCAAAAATGTTACTTGGAGCAACAAACAATTAAAAATTCGTTATCTCTAGCTACTCAAGCACCAGACCAATTCGCGTTTGATATTATGAAGGGTCCAGGGTATATGGCATTGGTTTCAGGAGAATCAATCCACATTATTAAGTGTACCCCGATGGAAGTAAAAATCCAACAAGGAGAAAACTGCTACAATGAACTTCAAGTGACCGCCAACAACAAAACATTTTTCCTTTCTCCAAGGACACATGTCCTAAAAACCAGAGGAACCCAAATCCAGTGTAATTCTCTTTTGCCATCATACTACCTCGTCAACGAACATTGGTATAAAATACTACCACAAGTCGTCGAAGCACTCCCACCTGCAGTGATCCAACCTTCCAAGCCCAACACGTGGAAGTATATCAACCCCGAGGATTTGGCTACCAGTGGAATCTACACCGAGAAAGAAATTGATCAACTCAACGATAAAATCATGTTTCCTGTAGAGAAAACTGCAGTTCTAAATAACTTAGCTATGAGTATGAGTGGACATCAAATCATCTCTACCAATGACAATGTTCTGAATCTATTTAATGAACAAGTTGTCGAAAAATTCGTAAACAACACTTGGAATAAGATGTGGGATAAATTTATGGTTTTCGGTACGGCAAGTGCTGGAGTTTTTGCAATCTTCACCATTTTTCACCTCCTCAAATCTGTGGTGAACACACTAGTCCATGGATACACTCTTCATTCCATCTATGGTTGGTCCATTCATCTATTAGGTGCAATCTGTGGGTCTGTAGCTCATTTATTAGTACATCTGGGTACTCGACCACCCCAACCTGAAGATGTTCCGTTACAAGAAGTCACTTCGCAAGAAACGAAAGAAGTCCCAGCGGCAGAAGCTCCTCCTTCACAACAACTATATCCTTCAAATGAACTACAACAACAAAGAGGATACTTCAACTTAAATACTTAATTTTGGGAATTGAGTTTCAAGAAACCAAAGCCTACCTCAAAACTTTTCATCCGCAAATATAAAATATCTGTACAATTTTTTTTTTTTGTTTGGTCACTTTTCGTCTTTCATCCTCAAGTAACCATTTTACGGCTGGGGTGTAACGTCCCGTGTATAATTTGAGCATATAAATGTTCAAATAAGATTAGTTTAGGTAAAATTAGAATTTTAAGTGTTTCTCACACTTCGTCGCTGTTTTGAACGTTTATTTCTAAACAAACTACAAGTGTAAATAATCTTAAATTAAATAAAAGATATCAGAACGTTCTCTTCAAGAAAACAATTATTTCTAAAACGTCTAAAATTCTCAAAACCTTAAGCTCAAAATCAACAGTTCCGAAAATTAAAATAGAGAAGAATTGTATTTTGAAGATATCATTCTGATATCTCCTGTAAATAAAGTCAGCATAGTTGAATAATCTAGCGTAACTATCTAAATATCCCGAGCACCGATGCACTCTTGCAAACAACAAGACCTAACTATTTTTTATGTAAAGTATGAGAATGAGTGATTTAATTATAAATAATGAATAATAATTGTTTAAATGTTTAAATTTTATTGTTAATTAACTTTAATTAATTTTGATTTCTTTAATTGGATTTAATTATTTAAAATATTTCAAGTTTTTATTATAAATTAATTATTTCACAGACAAATCATTGTGTATAATTGTTTATAAATATTATTTGAACATTTGAATTATTATTACTCATTTTTGATTATTATTAATTTTTAATTCAATTATTTTAAATTACTTTTCAAACGTTTTAGAATAATTTTGTTAAATATAAAGAATATTCTATACTTTTATAATAAAAATTAAATTAACAAACAAATTAAACAATTTTAAATAAATTTTAATTATTTTTAATTATTCAAATTAATTTTTAATCATTAATTAACAATTTAAGTATACAAAATTCTTTATATTTTAAAACTTTAATAATTAATTATATTTTATTGTTAAAAATTATTGTTAATAACTTTTTAACTAATAATATTAATATTCATAATGTTTAAATTAATTTTTAATATTAATAATGTGAAAATTATGAAAAACTCAGAAATTGGTTGGAAAACTGAATTTTGGCTCCATCTCTTGAAAACGGTCAAAACTTTAAGCCCCTTCCACTTGAAAACTCCCCTAATTCAAGTACGCCCACGCAACTTCTTATCTCTCAAGGCTGGGCCTGAAGGGCCCAATACCGTCACTGACCTAACCAGTTTTTTCCCATTTTCTTTCCTTGGATCCAATCCTTGTAATTTCCCAACCTCTTTTTCCTCCACTTTGAGACCCATTATTTTAAAACATAGTTCCATCCCTAAAAATAGGTAGGGACAATGATATAAAAATACGAACCCCGTTGAGAAGTCAGTCAAAAAAAAACAGTCACAAAAACAGTCACAAGAATTCTAAAAAAACTACTTCTTCCTCAAATTCTTCTTCAAGTTCAAGTTCAAGTTCAAGTTCAAGTTCAATTAAATTTCATTTTTTCTAACAATTTTCCAAGTGTTAAATTTAAATTGTATTAAAAATTTCCACGATTCAAGCCAAAAATTCAACGCTTTTTCAACCAATTTCCGAGTCTACAAGTGCCAATTTGTTTAAATAAAAGTAAGTCTTATATTAAATTGCTGTCTAACTTTCATCTAAATCTTTTTCTTGTCATCTCTAAATAATTCCGAAGAATATTAATGCGTTAATCGTGTTCTTATTTCTTCAATTTCCTTGTCGTATTTTTGTATTTACCATAATTTTCATTACCTTACCTAAGGATTTTAATGCGTTTATCGCGTAATTATTCCTTTAATTTCCCCGCGAAAATCCCTATTTACATATATTGATCAATTTGAATCGTTCCCGAGTTAGTGGACGCAAGTCTAGACTCGAAACATAAAATAAGAGAATATTTCCGAATATTCTCTGAAATTTATACTTGCGTTATGCATCCGACGTAACAATTATTAGAATATACCTAATAATAATTACAGATATAATTATTATAATCATTGTAAAAGAAAAGTATATACTTCATTTGATTTGTAATTTATTTATTTTTAAGCATAAATTAGTCAAATAATTGAACAATTATTATTTTATTGGTAAAGCAATTAATGATAATAAAATAATAATTAGCTGTTAAATATTTATTACAATAATTACAGTGATTTCGGATACTAAAATATAATTATCATTATTTAGAAACAAAAAATTAGTTCAATTTGATTGAAACATTAAATATTTAATAATATAATTAAATAATCGTGGAATGTTTTGACACAATTTAACGTCCGTTATATTTTTAAATTTATTTTTAAATCTACTCGTTAGTCGAGATTTATGTATTGAAAAATTTTCATTTCAAATTTTGACAGTTTTGTTTTCCAATTTTACAAACAATGAATCATATTTTATAAATTTAAAAAAAACTTTTATTTTTTAATATTGAAAAAATAAAAATTAGTTTTTATTAATTTATTTAAAAACAATTCATATTTTTTTGTAAATTTTGCTTTTCACCTTTCTGTAAAAGTGATACTTTTTTTTTATTATTAAGTTACTTTTTCACTGTTCTCCGAAAAGTTTCACAATGCTAGCAGTTTTTTTTTTTTTTTTTTTTTTTGACTTTGTTTCACAATTTCACTTTAAACTTTTTTCTATTAAAATTTAGACAAATATAGAAATATTGGAATTTTTATATCGCGTTTAAATTGGCGAAACTTTTATTATATTTGACTTTTAAAAATTTATCAATTGTTTCAGGAATTGAACAATATATAAATGAGGTTTATGAAGTTGTTCATTTCCTCATATTTTTATGCGTAAACATTGCTTAACCTGTAAAATACGTAAACGAGAATTTTATTTGCGATACACACAATGAGTCATTAAAAAAAAAGTTTAATTTTCGTTCATTTTTTCTAAAAATCATTAATCAATACATATTATTTATTTATTATTTAATTAATATTAATTTAATAATTTTTACTAAAATATACAGGTACCAAATTTTTATAGGAAAAAAAAAAAATTCGAGACCTAAAAATTGTGTTACGTAAAAAATAAGTCTAAAAGTAAATTCCATCGAAATGCTAATCCGAAAAATGAAATTTCGTCTAAAAGAAAATTTTATCCAATTAAAATTCTTTCAAATGATAATTCTAACTTATGTATATTTTATGGGCTAATAATGCAATCCAAATTTTAGGTATTTTATTGAAGCTATATATAAAAAAAAGTAAAAGTAAAAAAAGTTATAAAAGTTTATTAAAAAAAAAAAAAAATAACAAAAATGTCAAAAAATAGAGTAAATTTATTTTTTAAAAACGACTAACGTTAAAATTGATTTTCAAACTATGAAAATATTTGACAAATGATTTCAAAGAGAAAATGTGTGTTTAAGGTGAAAGTACACACAAGAAATTTTTATCGAAACGTCACTCGTCGCATTGCGTCGATGAGTTTCAACTTTTACAATTTTCCTCGCAAGAGAGAGAAAAAGATTGAGTGAGACTCGGTAAAGATTTATTTTTGTCGGTCAGGAGAATGGCCATTTTGAAAAATACATTATGGAATTCTCGAGAGGTTTAGTTTGAGAGGTTGGTGCGCTTTCGAGAGCAAATAGAGTTAGAGCGTTTTTCCGTTAGAAAGAAACTAATGTTCCATTGCCAATCGAGGTCAAACCTCGCACGCATCTTTCACTATACTAACATTTCTCGAGAATCGTTTAATATTAAATTTCATTCACTTATATCCTACCAATTCTCATTCATATATATATATATATATATATCGATTTTAATTTTTCATCAAATTTTTTCCGATGAAAAAAAATTGCGGGGGGCAATCATTCCTAACCTAAAAGAAATTGAGTAATTTTAATGAAATTTTTATAATAATAATTTTTTTAATTTCTTAAAAAATGGTTATCCCATAAAAAATCATAAGTTAGAATTTTCATTTTTCGAATTAACATTTGTCAGAATTTCTTTTTTAAAGAATTTTTAATTAACAGAATTTTTAGGGTAATTTTTATTTGATATAGTTCTTAGAACGCCGAATTTTTATTTGTCTGAAATTGTAAATGGCCGAACAAACAATCGATTTTGGCGCGATTTTTAAAATCCACCAATCACGCGACATTTGACGCTATTCAATAATAATAATAATAATAATAAATTGAGTAATAAAATAAATATTTTTCTCCAAATAAAATTACAAATTATATTATTTTCATTTTATAAGGGAAATTCATAAAAATATTTTTATATCGATTGTTGTGGCGATACCGGTACAAGAAGTAAAAAAAAAGTATGTAGAATAAAGAAAAAAATAATTAAATGATGACTTTTTTTTGTTAAAGAGTCAACAATAATGTATATGTATATATAGTATTTGAACTCGTGCCGTCACGCGGAAGCAATGAAAGGATTTCGCTCGCTAGACACTGTCGAGTCTTTTTAAGAGGCAACCGTGACCCAGAGACCACGCCTTCAGGTTTAAGGCTTTTGTTAGATACTGAGCCTGACAATACGAACGAAACTCCACTCGCAATATTCTCGAGTCGCTGACATAATTTTCAAAGCAGGACATAACATTTCTCTACAAAATAAAACAAAAAAAAAAAAAAATTCTACAACTTTTTCTGTGGCTTTATGCATTGTGCATCAAAAAATCCCTACATTTATTTTAATGCAACTTTTTTTTTCTGTGACAAAAGACAAGTTACATTCTAATTATACGTGGATCGTATTTTTTTCAAGATTCTTAATTGTAAATATTTTTTTCGTAACGCATGAATGAGTTCTAAAAATCAATTAGAATTTTAAATTAATAAAATTTCATTAGATTCAAATTTTCATTTATCATAATTTTTATTTGGTCAAATAAAATTTTTTAGTAGAAAAATTATCGAGAGAGAAATAATGTAATTTTATCTATATGATACAATTTCTATTATCATTGTAATATAAATTTCTAAAAAGAATATTGGATTATAAAAATTTAATCAAATCCTTTCTTTAAAAATATATATTATAATAATTGTTTCAAGAATATGTTCGGTCGATAATTATTATTCTTATTACTTATTCAAATTCTACTCCTATTCGCGCAGTGGTTTTATTTTTGATACTTTTATGAATTTTTAATAAGATTTAGAAAATTACTTCATTGGTACGTTTATATACATATATATAATTATCGAAAATAGACCTAGGTAAAGCACTCCAAAGCTTTATGAACTTAATATTGATATGCTAAATAAATTCCAATTTAACTTCATGAATATCTTATCAAACTATTGAATATTAAATTGGATAATATATAAGGGAAATATTAAAGTCAAATTAATATCAAACTGAAATATTGTTATTTTGTAAGTACTGCATAATTTGCAAATTCATTGTTACTATATAAAATATACATTATTTTTATTTAATTATCATTTTTATAATTATCAATTTTTTAATAATAATTATTACTATTATTATAAATATTATTGTAATTATTAGACTGATTATTATTATTTATAGAATCAATGTAGGTTCGATTATAGGTTATGTCAAATTATTTTTTTTATATGTATATATATATAATTACGAAGTTCATTATACACCAATAATAATTATTTGATACAAATAAATATTTATTTGATAATAGTCAAGTATAACCGATTATTCGGATGAAATAAATTTGTTTTTTCAATGTATCAATTTTTTCGGGATTTAATGATTCGACAAATGACATGGACATCTCTCTTGTGTATAGATGTGTTGGCCTTAAGAAAGAGAGAGAGAATATATCCTCAAAGGAGTGTTTACAAACCTCTAACGACGTAGAATCTCTTTTGACGAGAATCAATTAACGATGCGACGTGTATATAAAGAGGGTGTAGATTTCAAGGACGTCAAAGGGTGCAAAAGACTTGGCTGCTGACGACGACCTTAAAAAATTATTCACCTTATATACTATAGTGCCGACGAAATCTCACTCCAACAATTCTCCCCCTCTAATCCTCATATATATGCATGCATTAAAGATCGCAATAAAGGGGAACGATCACTTCATTATAATCTCATATTTTTTTTATAATCACCCCAAAAAAAATCAATTTTTCTTCACTTTATTTTCCTAACAATTATAGAGTAATTAAAAAAATATATATAGTTCCAAGCAAAATTTAACTCAAAGAAAAATAAAATTAAAAGACGGAACAAGCAAATATATATCTATATTTTTTGTAACTAAAGAAGGAAAAAGAAAAAAAAAACTGAACCAAGAAAACTTGGGGAAAGAAATGAAATAAAAAGAATGGTTCTTTAAACGAATAATATAAGTCCAAGGGATGAAGATAAAAAATAGTATAAGCAAATAGTGATGAAGAAATAAGCGCAGTAATGAAGAGAATAGAAAATGGTAGAAATAAAAAGGATTTAAAACTTGAGCGCGGAATAGTTTAAAGAAACTGGTGTGTATATATATATATATATATATATATATATATATATATATATATATATAGGTACTCGAGAAACAGAGAAAAATACGCGAATTTGAATAGCGAATAAAATTAAATGTATTGAAACTCATTCCTTTATATCATGAACGATTTGACTCTCGCGAATATAAAAAAAATTAACCGAGAGAATCTTAACTTGCGTGCGGCTTTCTATTGGTATGTTTTTCTAAAATTCATTCCATATTTTTTTGCAATTACCATATTATAGAATTTATTTTTTAATGTATTTTCATATTTATAGTTTATAATATATTTTTTAACTATAATTCTTTTATTAATAAAAAAAAAAATGTGTATGTACAATCAACTTTGTAGTTTATTATTACCTAACCTAACCTGAATCTAAATTTACCTTACCTAAACCTAAAATAATGCAATTTAACCTAACATAACCTAAATCTAATCCAACATAACCTTAACCTAAGCTTATACAATCGAAACTAACCT